TGGCAGTGGTCATAGATCAGATGACTTGTTCTCCATGTTGGCAGTGGTCATAGATCAGATGACTTGTTCTCCATGTTGGCAGTGGTCATAGATCTGATGACTTGTTCTCCGTGTTGGCAGTGGTCATAGATCTGATGACTTGTTCTCCGTATTGGTAGGGGTCATAGATCAGGTGACTTGTTCTCCATGTTGGCAGTGGTCATAGATCAGATGACTTGTTCTCCATGTTGGCAGTGGTCATAGATCTGATGACTTGTTCTCCATGTTGGCAGTGGTCATAGATCTGATGACTTGTTCTCCATGTTGGCTGGTGGCAGTGGTCATAGATCCGATGACTTGTTCTCCATGTTGGCTGGTGGCAGTGGTCATAGATCTGATGACTTGTTCTCCATGTTGGCTGCAGTCATAGATTAAATTGTTCTCCGTGTTGGTAGGGGTCATAGATCAGATGACTTGTTCTCCATGTTGGCTGTTGGCAGTGGTCATAGATCTGATGAGTTGTTCTCCGTGTTGGTAGGGGTCATAGATCTGATGAGTTGTTCTCCGTGTTGGTAGGGGTCATAGATCTGATGACTTGTTCTCCATGTTGGCTGGTGGCAGTGGTCATAGATCAGATGACTTGTTCTCCATGTTGGCAGTGGTCATAGATCAGATGACTTGTTCTCCATGTTGGCTGTGGTCATAGATCAGATGACTTGTTTCCCATGTTGGCAGTAAGCTGTGCTTATAGATCAGAGGACTTCTTTCACCTTACACGGAAATGTTCTCTTTCTCAGGTGCGTTGCTGGGAGGTGCAGGATAATGGCCAGACCATTCCAAAGGCCCAACAAATGCACACGGGACCAGTGCTGGACGTCTGCTGGAGTGACGTACGTATCCCCCTTCAGCTGTGAAATGTCTGTCCAAACTTTAGATTTACCAAAGCTATGTCACGTCAGGGTCTACCTAAGCAGTCCTTTTCATTTTGCACCCGACCAGCCCCACCGTTGTACTACACAGCTGTTGATATTTCTAAAAGTGATCGTGAAATCAGATTAAAGGTTCATGGACAGCTTTACGTGTCTTCCTTTCTGTAATAAGTGTTGCCTCCTGAGGGCACCAGCCTTACAGGGTCACTGTCACTCTGTCCATGTGGAACACTGTGTCTCTGAAAAGCTCATTGTAAGGAGCCCAAGCTTGCTCGGTTCCACTCTCCCGGCACTCCTCAGATTTCAGACCGCAGCGTCTGATATTTCGGTCGTCCGATAATTCGGGATTGGAACTACAGCTATGTGACGTTGGTATCCAGTGGCGATAGCTCAGAACAAACACCAGGCAGGCTGCATGTAAGTTCAAACAGGAATCTCCTTTATTGGATGCACACACACACTTTTATAAACAACAGTTTGAACGCCCCGACCACCTTCCTATTGGTCAATTGTAAACGCCCCTCTAGTCCTCACTTAGGTCCTCTTGGCCATGCAAACGAGGACTTGAAACAGGGTCAGCAGGGATTGGTCTGATAGCTTGAATGGGAGGGCTGATATGTGTAATGACACAGAGAAGTCCCAGGAGTTAAAGTATTCCAAGGACCATGACACTCATCTCCATGTTATCCCCCGCCCCCCATGGGCAAGGTGACAGGGTCTCTTTAAAGGCATGCTATAATACATCTTCAAGAGAACCAGTCTAGTCGGATGATCTTGGCATTCATTTTTCCTCTCTTCAATCTCATTTGCCTGCAGGATGGCAGTAAAGTCTTCACGGCCTCATGTGACAAAACCGCCAAAATGTGGGACCTGAACAGCAACCAGTCCATACAGATCGCACAGGTAAGCTAGGCCGTAGTCTGGCTTTGTGCACCTCCTTTTGTGTATGCGCGCTCACGGCAAGCTTCTGCTAGCGCCAGTAGGGCATGTACAGAAGAGACCATAGAGCCTGTAAGTAAATGTGAGACGATATTTTATGTACTTGATTTTTTTTATTTATTTTTGTAGCATGATGCACCGCTGAAAAGCGTACACTGGATCAAAGCGCCAAACTACAGCTGCATAATGACAGGTAGCTGGGACAAAACTCTTAAGGTAAGCAATATGCCGCAGTGTTTAAATCCCTGGTGCTCAACCTGTGCCCCAGGGGCCGCATTCAGCCCATTGGCAATTATTGTGTGGCCCTCCGAGCCCCTACAGACATTATTGTGAGGTTCTTATTCAGGCCGGTGAAGGAAATATTCTTCACACCAGCTTCCAGTATTTAAATGCTCACACATCTTTTTTTTTTCCTGTGCTGTCCCTTTAATCTCTCTGCCCTTCTTTTTTGCTTTTTCTTCATAGTTTTGGGACACGCGCTCTGCCAATCCTTTAATGACACTCCAGCTTCCGGAACGAAGTTACTGCGCAGATGTGGTAAGTCGTGTTCGATAGTAGAAAGTTCTCATGGCACACTCACACAACAAAAAACTTGTCTCACACTAAGGTTACAAACAGAGGTTTGGATACACGTCTCCTGCAGAAAATGTGAAAGCCGCACAGCCGCGCCAAGGCACCTCTTATAGTGCGGTCCTAACTCTAAACTATCAGAGCCTCCATCTTGGAGCACATGGGGCAAAAGATGCAAATTGGTGCAGGTTTGTCAGGAGGAAGCCCGACCTCCCTTTGGCTGGGTTCACATCTAGGTGTATTGAATATGCGCGTTTTTACCGCAATTCGCGGTAAAAAAAAACGCCCGTTTCCGAGGTCTACTTGGCTGTATTCCAATGGAAACGCGAGACCAAAACGCCCCAAAGAAGTACATGTACTTCTTTGGGCGTAGGCTGTTTTGTAGCGCGTTAGGGACCGGCGGAAGTACGGCAAGGTGTGAACCAGACCCATTTAATACAATGGGATTTAGATGTTTGAGCGTTTTGTAGAGCGTTTATCAAGCGTTGAACGCGCTACAAAGCGGTCAGGTGTGAACCGGGCCTTAAAGGCACAGGAACGCACAAGGGATCCCGCACATCCCAATGGCAGCCGAGACCCCCCATGCATCACTGCACCA